GAGGCTCGCGTCCCACCTCTGGGCCACCTCGCTTGAACTCCGAGGCGCTAGAACATGCCTCCCTTTGGCCAGGCTGAACGCTAAGGCGAGAAACCTCAATATGGCTGCACCATCCACCATGTCTAGGATGCATCGTCACCTCAGAGGAGAGGCTCGCGTCCCACCTCTGAGCCACCTCGCTTAAACTCCGAGGTGCTAGAACATGCTTCCCTTTAGCCAGGCTGAACATCAAGGGGAGAAGCCACCTCACTTGCATTCCGAAGCTCATACAGTCCGAGGCTCATGCTGTTGTTCATTTGCCTAAGTCCGAGGCTCATACAGTTATTATGCTTAAGCAAAGTTCGTTTCCTTAAGTCCGAAGCTTATACAGTCCGAGGCTCATGCATTTGTTCATTTGCCTAAGTCCGAGGCTCATACAGTTATTATACTTAAGTAAAGTTCATTTGCCTAAGTCCGAGGCTCATACAGTTATTACGCTTAAGTAAAGTTCCTATGCTTAAGTCCGAGGCTCATACAGTCGTTCAATCCAGTTGTTTAAAGTGATTGAAGTTAAGGTACCAAGTTAAAATTATTTTGTTAGTGCTTCTGTCAACTTTTAAGTTCATTTACTTAACGAGGCGCGTACACTTGGATAAAGAAACAACAATGAATGAAAAAAGCATTACATTGATCTTCAATAAGGAATACAAAAGTGGGCCTCAAGCCATTACATTCGAAAGACTGAAAAGAAAACTAATCTAAGCCTGGGTAGATGGGGGAGGTGCTTCAGTACTTGGGGCCTCGGCAGCTTGAGCATCAGCATTGGTCTCCTCTACCTCAGCTGCTTCATTACCCTGCACCTCCTCAGCGGGGGTCTGAGGTACTTCGTCCACGAATTCAGACCTGAGTTGAGCCAGTTCCTCCACCCGCTCCATCACCTCAGCATAGGCAAAGTTTCTCCAGTAAGCACTAAAGCTCTTATGCTCCTCTGTATTATGGAAGTTGGCTACGTACTCCTGCACCGCCTCCTCCCTCGCCTGTTGAGCCTCCTCCCTTGCGTAGGAGGCATCATCCACATACCACTTGAGTTGGGTTTCCAAGAACTAGATAGCCTCTTGGGCACCCACCAAGGAGATATTTGCCTTCTCCAGAGCCTCGGCGGTCACTTTCTGGTGCACATTGGAGACCTCTACCTTCTTTGTCAGGGAGGCCACCTCGCACTGTGACTCATGGACTTCTTTCTTCAAGGCCTCAATCTGGGCCAAGGCAGACTCCAGCTTGGCCAATTCTTCAAGTTTTTGGGCCCTAGATGCCTTTAATTCCTCTACAAGGGAGGCCATCTTCTCCTCCGAAGACTGGGTCCTTGTCTAAAAATCACTCAGGGCCTCCTTGCATTTAAGTACGATGCCAAAGGTTCTGACGCTTTGGCTCACCAAGGCCCTCGTCAGGTCAGTCGCATAGGCATGCAGTTGCCACCTATCAGTCCAAACCTGGTAAAAGCTCTCAGTAGCGCTCCGAACCTCCTGGGACAGAGCCTCCACCAAAGCTGGGGCCAAGGTCTCCTCCCTATCAGCTAGGAAGCTTGGAGACTTGCCTTTCTCTCGAAGAGGCTTCTGTTTCGCTGCCTCCTCCTCAGCAGCCTTGGCGGCTCTCATCGCAGCCTCTTCTCGTGCCTCCTCAGCCTCAACCTCTCTAACCATTTCTATCTTGATGGCTTTGGAGGCGGATGTGAGCAGCTTCGACTCGCCAGTTGATTTAGCCTCGTGGGACACTAATGTCCCAAATTTCCCTGACGAGCTGGTGACGTGCACCAGCTTCCTCCTCTTCGCCTCCTCAGGGACTTTCTCTTTCCTCCGAGGCTCTTTTGGCTTCTCTCGCCTCTGAGGAGCCCCTTCTTCGAAAGGCGTTCCACCCTGCCTCGGACCTCCTTAGCCCCACCAGACCCCGGCTTTAGGGGCCTCGCCTTGACAGTGGTTGTTGCCTTCAAAATAGTAGCCATGTCCGGAGCTGAGTACTCCCTCTTCTTGAATTTATTTGCATAGCACGTCAGGTCAGCACATCAGTATCAAAACAAAAGAACAAGAAAATTTACAACTGTGGGAGCTTCGTACCTCTGGAAGCCATCAGTCCAAAATCCAAGAAGTAGCGACTCCTGTCGATCAGGTGGTCAAAGTGGCGGAGCTTCAGAGGCCTCTTGTAGATGTCCTCTATCACCTCGAACTCTTCTTTACTGAGCTCGAACCTCATACTACAATCTGCAATGGAAGCTCCAGTAGTTAGAAAATTTCAAGTGTTCAATTTAGAAGTACAAGTAGGGGCTGGGAGACTTACGAGCTTCATAGTACTGGGTCGGCACTGTGCAACAAAGGGCCTTGTCCCCCTCCACTGCCTGCCACTTTCCTCGCACCCAGAACTAGGACTCCTTCCACCCCTTGATGGAGGAAAGCAGTCCCACCACAAAGGGTGCGTAAGTCCCCCAAAGTGTAAGGTAATACTACCCTCCGGACTCCTTCCCTATGACCAGGGCTGGAAAAGGGTCATGAATACATGGAGAGGCATATCCTCCCCAAAAGACACCTCCTTCCACAGGAAGTACGAACCGACCAGCTGTCTCCACCCATTTGGCAGAACCTGGGTCGGCGACAACATGAAATTCCTCAGCACCGCCCTAAAGAAGGGGTGCAGAGGAAGACACATACCTGCCTTAAATAGGTATTCGCTAACTGCCACACAACCGGGCCTCGGATAGTAGGCCCGCTCATTAGGCTTGTGAACTAACATTTCTATAGTGTGGGGGACACTGTATCTCTCCCTGATCTCCCCCAACCTCTTCCACGTCATAATAGAAGGCACCCTAGACGCCTCCCACTCTTCAGTATAATCTACTGGCTCCTCGACTATGGCATACCTATCAACCTCGAAATCCCCCCTATGACTGACCCCACAATCTAACGAAGCTACTGTCACCAACTCCCTACCCAAGGTTGACTCCATTTCACAGTATTAACACAGAAATAAAAGGGCTCTTCTAAGAATAATACCTAAGGGAGGAACTATGCGAACGGAGATAGGTCAGAGAGTGAAAGAACAAAGAGTCCCGATGCCGAAAAGTTCAAGATTCAAAGAGAATCAGATTGCGAATGTTCAAAAGTCCTAAAAAATGGGATTTTCTCACCTTTTATAGAGGTCCAGGATGAACCCCAGCCATCAGATCGAATCTCAGTCAATCTGAGCCCTTCATTGTAGATCAAATTCGAGGCGTTGAATTCAAACAGTTTTTCAAACCTATGCCTCAGATTCAAGCGTGCCTCCCACGCGCCCCATCCAACGTGTCTGCTTCTAGAAGCTCCAGCTGCCATCATAATTGTGTTTTTAATTTGACGACAGCAGGCGCCTTGAAAGTCGTAACGGTTCAGCCACTTTTCCTCGAAAACAAGCACAAAACATCAAATCATTGGCACAACTATCGAGGCACAATCATTACCAACCACCTCGGTTTCAACTTCAACATTCAGCCATCGAGCCTCGCAAGTTCGATTTTCCAACCACCTCGGCTTCAACTTCAACATTCAGCCATCAAGCCTCGCAAGTTCGGTTTCCCAACCAGCTCGGCTCAACTTCAACATTCAGCCATCAAACCTCGCAGGTTCGGTTTTCCAACCACCTCGGCTTCAACATCAACACAGCCTCGGTCTCTTCATCGTTCACCCACGGAAACACATTTCTAGTTCCAACTCTAATATAAATATCTACACTTGGATTTCGGGGACTATTATTTGGGGTTCAAAAATTCTTTCAATTTTTACTTCATTAAAGCCCATGCATTACATGAATGACCATACTTGGACTTGGGGGACTATTGTTGCATGTTGTCATACTTGGCCAATATACCTGGGCCAATGGCCCACTCAGGCCGAACCACGTGGCACTCCAGTCGAGGTGGGCAATGGTCGAAGTCCACTAGCAGATGCGCTTTTTTACCGAGACTTGCGGACGTAACCGAGGTCCATATGCCGAGGCCCATGAACCGAAGCCATGATGCTGAAGCTAGTTGAAACCCTCAAGCGAAAATATTGTGTGAAATGGCCGAAGCCTCGAAGCTGATGTAGGAGCCTCCGAACCACAAGGGAGTGTCCTTCATGTTCACTTCTCCCAAGAGATCGTCTGCATAAAGATCTTATTCGAATGATTGATGGAACGTTTGTCATAAGCATAAATGTCAAGTCTTGTCACTAGTATGGGGCTCTGCACAAGCAATAAATGCGCTGCGAGCTAGCAAGTCAAACCTCATGCCTGATAAGATGTTTAAATCAAAGAGATGAGGCCACGTGCCACCTCATCCAAGGGCTCCCATTTCACATATACCACTATAAATACTTCCCTTATGTAAAATCAAAAGGCTAATGCAAGAATCAATACAAAGAACTACATTTTACTCAACTCTCTCATTTACTTGCAATACACAAATCGAGTTTATACACATTTACAAATACATTCACTAACACCGGTTGATAATTATTGTACAATCGGATCACGAACAGTCCGTCAGATTTCGAACGTTACCGTCCCGCGTCGTTGGGCTACTCCCACCCCCTTTGAACTGTCCGTTTTAGACCGTCCTCATGTTTTAGCGTGTTGGACATTCGTCCACGTGTGTGCGGGTGAGACCGGCATCTGTTGGCAACACTTTTTGAGGTCAATAGTGTACATACATATGATGTGATGATATATGATTTTGTTAAAATTTCTTATCTTAAACCAAATAAAAAAAAAATTCGTTCCTTCTTGACACCTCATTTATTTGTGAAAATTTTTAGTAATTCTTTATGTGCAAATAGCACTATTCTTTGTTGAATGACGCAGTTTTCAATTTATAAAGGGAAGTAATCAGTTGTGAGCCTAGTCATTCGAAAATAATAGGCCCATTGGGCTTCCTTATCCAGGTCGGGTAAACAAGAAACTTGACGAGGCCATATCCAACCCAACCCTAACAACTCACAAATTTCTCTAAAACCCTAATATCCATTTTCCAGTAGCGTTTTTCTACTTTCCATCCATCCCTTCCCCTCCCCTCTCCTCAACACACGCACACACAAATGGGTCGTGTGATCCGGGCACAGCGTAAGGGAGCAGGATCCATTTTCAAGTCTCATACACACCACCGGAAGGGTCCGGCCCGATTCCGTTCTCTCGACTTTGGCGAACGCAATGGCTACCTGAAGGGGGTAGTGACTGAAATCATCCATGACCCAGGACGTGGTGCTCCTCTTGCTCGTGTTACCTTCCGCCATCCCTTCCGGTACCAGCACCAGAAGGAGCTTTTCGTCGCCGCTGAAGGAATCTACACCGGTCAGTTCATTTACTGCGGCAAGAAGGCCAACCTTGTTGTCGGAAATGTCCTGCCGCTCAGATCTATTCCTGAAGGTGCCGTCATTTGCAACGTGGAGCATCATGTTGGTGATCGTGGCGTTTTTGCTAGGGCCTCTGGAGATTACGCCATTGTTATCTCGCACAACCCAGATAATGGAACAACTAGGTATAATTATTATTCATGACTTGGATTTTTGATTACGTATTATGCATATAATATAATTTTTACTGATAATTGGTGGGTTGATTTTATTTTAATATCCATATCTGATTTTTATTTTGCTCAGCTTGTATAAAAATAGTTGGAGAAAACAGATAGGCTCTGTTGAATATCTAGCTATAGTGATTTAAAAATATTTCGACTGTTTTTTTTTTTTATGACCATGAATTTTCATCTACTTAGATTATACGATTATGATTGGTAGTTGTGAGATACGGGCACATCAATTCTTTTACAAGTACATACAGATGCATTTGTTAGGTTTCAGTTGTTTGATTACATGAAAGTGAAATTCTAGTGTAAAGTAATTTGTGTGGTTCTGTGGAACTAATAATTCATTCCCTTCTTGATAGTTTATGAGCTTATGGATAAGGTTTCTGATTTTAGTAAATTGTTCCGATTAAAAGACATTTGATTTTTGGGTGGAACTGTAATACTAGTGCTATCATTTTGTTCAAGTGTTTATGGCATGAAAAGATAAGCTATCATTTTCGATAATAGTAGCTGGCAATGTTTTTCGATAATAATAGCTGCTATTGATTGAAGACACTATGGCAATGTTTTTCGATAATAATAGCTGCTATTGATTGAAGACACTATCACCGAATACATTTTAGTAGCTGCTGGTTGTGAAGACATTATAGTTAATTAATAAAATGATGTTTAAATGATGCTCTCAATCTATACAATTCTCAACTGGAAAGAGTTAAGAATAAAATGAAGTTTAAATGAAATGTGACACCATTTTTGCTTAGCTGCATAGATTTAGTATTGTCTGATTTCTTCAATATTTTTTTAAATTTTTTATTTTATATGCACTGATCAATTAGTTAATTTTCCCTATGCATAAAAATATTTAACCTGTTGTCCATTGTTTTATCGGACCACCAACTCTAAATTGTCAGGGTTTTCCTGTTTGATTTTTATCTTAAATTATTCTGCACTCATTTAGCATATGAGTAATGCTAGGGCCCCCTTCCATGTGAGGGGGGTGTAATCCATTATGTACAAAAGAAGTGTTCAGACTAATTCTTAGTATATTTATTTTTAATCTTTCTGTCATAGATATGTGCGAAGTCCGAATCTGCACAATGCATCATTTATAGTTCTGGGGCTTGATGAATTGTTATTGTTGACAGGGTCAAGCTTCCATCAGGAGCCAAGAAAATTGTGCCCAGTGGCTGCCGTGCCATGATTGGCCAGGTTGCTGGAGGAGGACGTACTGAGAAACCCCTATTGAAAGCTGGAAATGCTTACCACAAGTTCAGAGTCAAGAGGAACTGCTGGCCCAAGGTCCGTGGTGTTGCTATGAATCCAGTGGAACATCCCCACGGTGGTGGTAACCATCAACATATTGGTCATGCCAGTACTGTACGTCGTGATGCCCCACCTGGACAAAAGGTTGGTCTTATTGCTGCTAGGAGAACTGGACGGCTTCGTGGTCAAGCTGCTGCAACTGCTTCTAAAGCTGATAAGGCTTAGGTTAATGTTAAGGGATGCAGATTTTAATTCTATTACTGTCTGTCTTTTTGTTGAGTGGATGAGATATTTATAAAATTGCGACATTTTTGTGGTAACCATATAGTAGATTTAGTTGGGATTTTGGTATTGAGTGTTGTTTCCGGGAAATGATCTCTTTTTCAACATGCTGTTACTTGGAGTTGTTTTGGCACATTATTTTTTGAGTTGATGCATTTGAGATTTATATTTTTAAGTACTAAATGGCGAAGATCACGTGGTCGAGCAAAGTACTTGGGAGACTTGGGTTTGTTGAGAGCCCTCCATGTATGCTTTTGAGACTTAATCTTTAATCTTCGAGAACAAATATTAGGGTGGTATTGAATGTGTTATGCCATATTTTTTGCTACTTCAAGTGGGGTTGGATATGGTTTGATTCGATTTGGGCTAAATTAATTAGTTAGTAAATTTATTTAAAAATAATAATTTAGTTTATTTAAGAAAAATAAATTTAAAAAATTAGGGAGATTCGATTATTGGTCTAGAATTCAGAAGCAAATCATACACGTTAGTTTTCGATTCAAATATTTGTTCGGGTAGTTAATTTAAGAAGAATCGCTTGATTATGGTGGATCCGATTCGAGAGTTTTATCTAGTTTTAGCTTCAAAAAATAAGCATAGAAATAAACTTAATTCACGTCAAGAAATAAACTTATTCAAGGGCTCATTCAAGAGATGAGCTTATTAAATTGTAAGAGAATTTAGTACTTATTCTTTACTTCTATGTTAAAAAATACACAAGTGAAAGGAGAGGAGAGAACCCTTCCTTCGAAACAAACTCATTAATTCTAATGCTCATTTTAAATCACATTAACACAATAAAAAAGAATTATTGAAAACAGGCCATCAAACTGGGGCTAAACATTAATCCGACTGTCAAACTAATCACCTCCATTGACAAAGAAATTCATACAATTAAAAACAACAGGAGAGGAAAACCTCGTATAAGGTCAGAGATTAATCAATGAAGACAGAATAAAAACCTCTAATTTTAATCAGGCTAAAATTTCACTCTCTAGTCCTTAAACATTGCCCTGTGCACCTTCTCCATCCTCCATTCCTCCCATTGTGTCATATAAAGGTCTATTTAAAGTCTCTGGTAGATAAAAGGCCAGAAGTCCCCCAGCTATCCCACATACCCCAAACACCACAAAAGGAATTCCTCCACCCAAAACCACAACAAATGGCACCAATATTGCTCCCATTTGTGCGGCCTGAGTAGCACATCCTAATGCTGCATTTCTAACCACGGTTGGGAAAAGCTCGACCGTGTAAATAAACAGCAAATTATATGTTCCGGCCATGCCAAATATACCCAAAATACCGCACACCATTCGGGCCACGTTCCACAGTCCGTAGTGGTATTTTAGCAAACTCCCGATGATGCAAAAAAACCCGCTGAACCATAGAGTCCCAATGGCTAATGGCTTTCTTCCAAACTTGTCTAGTAAGAGTGCAGTTAACAGAAAAGCAGGCATTTCTGCTACTGCATTAAGGAGGACATTGAGGTAAAGATTGGTGTTTAGGTTGACAACATTTAAACTTAGGCCATAGTACACAACAGAACACAAGAAGTTAATGGCCACTGCTAGAAACAAACGGATTCGTGTGAGTGGTGAACGGAGTACGTCTATGAGGGATCCGGTTATGGCTCCTTTCGACTCGAATGCTGCTTTATGATTGCTTTCAATCTTATCTGGTATGTCACTTGCTTCCTCATCGAGGGCAAGAAGGACACCATCCGGAAGGTGTTTTCCATTTGACGAAGCAATTTCGTGCATAATTTTCATGGCACGGCTGGTCTTTCCTCTAATAAGGCACCATCTAGGGGACTCAGACACAAATGGAAGCACGATTACGAGGAAAAGAATGGATGGAATGGAGGATGCAATATAGAGGACTCTCCATGTCTGAAAAATGTAAGCTATACCAGAGAGAAGGGCTATTCCGCCTGAGAAGAAATAGAAAGTCGACATGCCAGCAATACCACGTTTTGAAGGGCCAACGGGCTCTGTAGCTAGTACGAATGCACAGAGGCCAACTCCACCGGTGCTGAAACCAGTTAGAAAACGAAATAGTGCATAGGTCCAATAGTCTGGAGAGAGTGCTGTTACACAACCAAATATGGCATTCAAAATACAAACCACCAATAGAGAACCTTTTCTTCCCAATCTAGAGTCTGAAAGATGGCCAAATACTCCAGCACCTGAAAAGAGTAACAACAAATGTCTCAAAAATATTCTCTTTAACTTCAAAGTTAAAACTTAATTTCACTATAGAAATAAAGAAAAAATATCAACAAGAATAAAACTAATGCTAAATGGGAGCCTAGATCGAAGGCAGCTTTTTCATTTTTTTTTTATTTTTGTAAAACAAGAGAGTTTCAAGGCCCTTCTCTGCTGATTCTTCCTAAGATACGGAAGAGCTTAAACACACTAAAGCGTGTTCAAATTTTTTCCTTCTTTTTCTCAATATATTTTCCACCTCTACATTCACTTCATGCTATTGTGTTGTGAAACTCTTTCCATTTCACTGACAATTTTCATCAGGGCTGGGAATTCATATGCCTCTTTAGATTTTTGTAACATGCGCCTCAGTCACTATAGTAATTTTTTATTGTTAATATATATATGTAGTCAATCAACATTTTTTATCTCAATTGTCTGACGTATATCCTTATTTCTTATTTTAATGATTGGTGGCACGACTCACTATCAACAATCGTCATTATTGAATTTAGAAATGTTTAGCTCCCATTTGACAGCCATTGAGTGAATTTTCTAATAATAAATTTTCGAAAAATATGTGGTTAAAAAGTAGCAAAATATTTTTTGTTTACGTGAAGAAAATTATATTTTGAGAATGTATGGTTAAAAATGAAAATTAAATAAAAAAAAGAGAAGAATTTTGAAAGAGTGGTCGTCAAGAGGGTTCAAGAAAGAGATGAGCCGTCATTATTGCTTGGTCAAACTTCTTGGGTAATGTTGTAAGGATAAAGATATTTGCACCAGTTGGGGATCGCCAAGTGAGATGTGGATGATCCTTGCTTTGTACATACAGGTGTTATCCTTTTTTTATAATTAAGAAGACTAATAAAGACTATGTTCTATAGATATGGACAAGCAAGAATTCGTGTGCTGTATTCTTGTCATTGGAGACAAAGAAATAAATGTTAATTATTAAAGTCAATTCATGTTTCTTTAAGATATTAAACTATAGGTAAACGCAACATTTCATCATTGAAAATACACACACCTGGTCACATTTTGTCGTTTCCAAAGACTCAGTAATGAAGCTTATTCATCATCGAATATCATTGATGAAATTCTCGATTTTTTTCGTGGTTGAAAATGAAATAGAGTTCCTATTCCGGGCCTCTCTCTTCTCTCTCTTTTTTTTTGTGATGAAAGTGAAATTTCGTCGAGTGATAATTTGATGTGAATAATAAATGAATGGAAAAGAAAAAAGACACAAAAGTATAGGATTCAGAAAACTAACCAATCATGCATCCACCAAAAAACAAGGCCTGAACCAATCCAATTCATGTTTCTTTAAGATATTAAACTATAGGTAAACGCAACATTTCATCATTGAAAATACACACACCTGGTCACATTTTGTCGTTTCCAAAGACTCAGTAATGAAGCTTATTCATCATCGAATATCATTGATGAAATTCTCGATTTTTTTCGTGGTTGAAAATGAAATAGAGTTCCTATTCCGGGCCTCTCTCTTCTCTCTCTTTTTTTTTGTGATGAAAGTGAAATTTCGTCGAGTGATAATTTGATGTGAATAATAAATGAATGGAAAAGAAAAAAGACACAAAAGTATAGGATTCAGAAAACTAACCAATCATGCATCCACCAAAAAACAAGGCCTGAACCAATCCAACCTTGTATTTCTCTCCACAAATCAATCCAAATTCCGCCACCGTGGAGCTTCCCGAACCACCTATCCAAACCCACGAACCAGGCTCGACATGGCAAACACTATCCGCCTCGGTGGAGCAACCGCCGCCTCCGCCGGAGCACCTCCATGCCGGCTCCCGATCGGCAAAAATCATGACCATGGTGTGGAAACCCTCGAGCGCCCATGCTAAGCTTGTTAACACGAAGTGCCTTAGCTGCCAGAAACCGAACTCTCCACAATACTTTTTCAACATATCGTCTATGCATAGCTTCTCCGCCTTGCCGGAAGATCCGTCCGGTGACGCTAGCAGCGGTGATCGGAGGTCCGGTTGTTTGGATTCCATAGATGCAGATAGTTTTGGATATGTTCTTCTATTCTGTATTGATACTTCACGTGGAGTGGGGTGGCTTTTGAGACAGGATTTATACTCTCTAGGAGAAGAAGAAATTACTATTTTAGGTTCAATTTGGAATTAATAAGAATATCCTAAGTTGTCACCATTTGTGTTAATCATACCTTATGTCTTTTATCACGTTCACTCTAGTACAAGTCAAATTTATAAAGCACTATATAAGTCAATTTTTTCATAAAACGTTGAAGACAACATTTATTTAAAGGTTAATGAGAAATTTATTCCTAGGGGTAGTTGGACGGTTCACCCTAATAAGCACATATTCAGTCTCCATTTGAGCCACATTATTTTAAAAATGAGAATGAAAAATATAGTCGTTATGAACCTTATATAAGAGATAAAAAATCAAATATAGTGGCTTGATGTGATGATAACGATCATATTTTTCATTTTAATGAAAAAATAATGAGGCTCAAACAAGGCCTAAAATGGAAATTGGGAGATTTTTTGAGGCTCATCAGTTATTCATAAGCAACTGCTCAATGTAAATATCTCTCGTAGAAGGACATATGGATCGACCATGTAAATAAGTGTGGAGTGTGATCGGTGGATTATTTTAGGAGTTTTTATCTATGTCAAATTTTCTCGTCGTAAATAAAATAATATTATTTTGAATAGATTTTTATTTTATTTTTTTGGGGTGGGGTGGGGGGCTTGGGGGGGG